AAAAAAAAAAAAAAAAAAATCACCCGTTAATTTGGTGGAAGAGCCAGAAAATGGGAGTGCTGGAGAAAGCGGAAATGCTTGAAGAGACGATGATGAGTCCGACGGACGAGAAAAGTGTGGTTGACGCTGAGGAATGATGTTACTGAGTTCTGATTCGCTGTCGGACACCGCACTTTGACGTAAAATAGGATACTGCGCAGAAATTGATCGTACAGGACGTGAAAAAACGGGTGACAGCATAACAGCATGCTGGACAATGTCACCAGAAACTGACTAAAATAAATTTTTATCACATAATTGGCAAAAATTTCCAAATATTCAACATACAAACAGTACGAAAGACTCCCAGAACAGAAAAATGTGAGTAAAAGACTAAAGACCTGTGACCGTACTGAACGAATAAAACCATTGGGAAAACCGTCTTTCCTTGACGGTGTAAGCAAGCTTTGACAGCTGCTGTTTAGCAAACTGACTTCGCCGGATAACAAAGTAAAACTACTCCGCCGATCTGGAGGAGGTGAAGAGAGTCTGGGCAAATCGTCGGCATCCGGGATTTGTAGCAAGCCACTAACGGGGGGGTCGAAAAATGGGAAGAAATTGCCCAGAAGAGTATCTTTATCTGGAGGACTCGGAGGACTCAATGAAATTTGTATAGAACGTACACTACCACGCCTAACTCGAAAAGTACGGTGTCGGCTTGCCATTAAATAATAAGCAATAATAGATATATGTTAAACTGCCATGCTTAAAGATGAAACCTTATAAACTATGAAGCTGTACATTTTTCAAATTAGAGAAGTCACTTTAAGGCAGAGAGAGCATAGACGAGGTATCAAAATAATAAAGGACCAATGATAATAAAAATAATAATGATAATAACAATGATAATAATGATAACATATAATGATAATAATAGGAACAATAATAATAATAATAGGGTATTAGTTATTGGTATTACTGTTATTATAATATCATTGATATAATAATAATAATAATAATAATAATAATAATAATAATGGTATTAGTTATTGGTATTACTGTTATTATAATATCATTGATAATAATAATAATAATAATAATAATAATAATAATAATAAGTAACGGCAGTTGTAACTAGAGCAATATATCTGAAACTAGTCACAGCTAACAAAACAGATTTTACATGAATAAAAAAAAAAAGTTCCCAACAGGAAAAACCAAAAGGTTTACTATTACCAAAGCAAAAAAATGAGGATGAAAGACACCAAAAACGTATAAAACACTCCAGACAAACAGCAGATATAAAACCATGAGAGCGGAAGTGATCCAAATAAACTTCTACTTACTTGTCCCAATGTTTCCACGTGAAGCGTTTTTTTTGGATATGGTAACGGCGAATTTGACGACTGTTTCCCTGAAATAGCATTCTGCAACGGACGGGATAACGAAAGCCTTAGTGGAGCTGGTCTTCTTAAAGCCACCCGTTCACTGTAAGTCCCTTCACGTTTCTGTGCAACTGGAATTGAACTCCCGTTAAATCCAGCACCATCAAAAGATCTTTGAAACTGGCTTGGATCTTTAGATTCATCTCCACTCATTGCCTTGTACGATGAGTTTTTTTCATAACTTTCGCCATCCTTTTCTGGTTTTGACCCATCGATATCCGCGGATGAACGGTACCACCAGTTGCTCATCGCAAGCTATTTCCAAAACGCTTTTGTTCATTGCATGAGAATTAATTTGACGGCGTGATTCATACCCCTAAAACGCCTGTCATACAGAATTTCGTTTTGAAAAAGCAGTTAACGTACAGCAATAAATGCTTCCATAACATCTGACACTTTCGAC